CAAAATGAATGTTTGGAAATGTAAACTGATATTTCCTACTGACACACGACAGCAAAAGATAGAAATAACTGACTTAAAACCATTTTTTAGCTGGTGAAAAAAAATCTTGATGTATTTGTTTATTACAAACGCAGCTTTTCGCTTCACAAGATATTAAGTGATGGACGTCTACATCTTGGATAGCCTGAGGGTGAGTACATTTTCAGCAAATTTTCACTTTTTGGTGAACTATTCCTTTAACAAACACACAAAGGCCAAACCTGTAGCAGACGCTCCAGCTGGTAGAACTTGCAGTGAAGATCTTCAAAGTTGTTTTTGTAGAGATCCCGGAGACCATATTTGTACATTATCTTCACCAGCACGCAGAAAGCTTGCTCCTCAGGCATCTAAAGAAAAAAAGCGAGAGACATCACCATGATATTTCAGATGCTAATGCTTTCTGCATAAATAAACACAACCAGCCCATGATGTTTAGATGTGTCAACTGTCCGTTCACCTGTCTATGGCAGTCTACAGTGATGCTGTCAGAGTTTGTTTGTGTTTCTGAGACGGAGAGCGAGACAGACAGAGAGCTGGGTATTAAATCACACAGACAGCGTGTGTGTCCCGAGCTCAATGGGCTCCTGCAGGTAGACGGGCTCCGTCATTAATATTCCTGACAGCTGCTGAGCTTCCTGGGCAAGGCCACGAGAAAGACACTTACACTACATTATAGAAATCCCCAAACGTGCTCTAATATCAAGCCCCATACGAAGCGGCATTGCAAAAAAACAAAAACGCCATCTTATTCAGCCCTCGCTTTAATTAAAATGGCTGGAAACACTGATAAATTGTTCATGGCAACATATGTCCCTCTGAGCTGAAGGATTTTGTCTAGATTGAAGGTCTTTTGCACAATTTAGGAGGCTTTTAATCTGCCGGTGCCAATCAGCTGATGGAAAACCTCTTAAGACTCCTCACAAAGGAGATTTAACAGAAAACACCGCACCACTTTTCTAATCCACTCAATGCTTTTGTCCTGTTTTTCTATAAGATGAAATTTAATATATCATTTTAAAATTATAATAAAAATGTATAAGATTTTTATAAAATGCAGTTTATATAATTATTATATTTTATTATGTATTATTATATTATAAAATGATCAAAATGTATTACTTTGCAAAGCAATAAAATTTATTTATGAATTACAATTGTCAAGCGGCATAACGATGCACTAATTCTGAAATCAGCTGATTTCTGGTCAAAGGTGTGCGTAGTTTAAAACTGCTTTGTTTTACGTGGCACATTCATTCAGATTTTACAGCCAGAACCATCTGTTTAATTATAGAGAGATAGATGTGAGCTTAACTGGATAACTGCCTCCTGGATAACTGCATAATCTATTACTCTAGCTTTGTTTCTATATATAATAACGAATCTATGACGCGCAACTATGTTTAATTAGCAGAGTGTACAAGTTATTTTCACAGACGCAGGGAGGTGAGTACAGCACATGTGGTTGGATATCTATCAAGGCCGTTCGAATTACGGCAAAACAAAAGGTCAGTGGATAGAGATGTTGCAGCGGTGTCGAGATGCTTGCTACCAGATGGCAGGAGTGAGTCAAGCCTGCAGGATGAGCAGCTGCAACCTCACCTTGCAGATCTTGTAGAGAGAGTCTTGGCCATCGCCGCCTGAGTCTTTGAAGTAGTGGTGAGCAGGGAAGGTGCGATGGATGTCTCTGGTGATGATGGCTTCCTGGGCGGAGTCCTGTGGATCAAATCAAGAGTTAAAATC